GAAGGAGGTGCATCCACCACCAGCTCCTCCAGCTCAACAAGCAGCCCAGGCCCTCACTCCACAGCAAGGGGACCCTTCAAGGATGTCAAATAGACACAATAACTTGGGTCTGAACCCAGAGCACCAGACACCACCATCACTGGTGGGATACTTTCACTTTGCTGAAAGCCAGGGATTTCTCAGGTACTGCCTAGAAGGGGGGGTGGCCAGGACACCCCCACTGCCCACCTACCAGGGCTCCTCAAACACTGCCCAGAGTGAGCTCCATGCTTGGGACAACCTTCCTGGGACATTGCAGAGCTTGTACCTTCATGCACTCTGGTCTCTCCCAGCACTCAGTACCAGGCAGAGGCAGGGGCTCAGCTCCACCAGGGCACTGTCCAAAGTGGGGGACAGCACAGGCACCCCAAGGAACCCTCAAAACTGCCCGAGCCCTCAGCTCCAGCCTGGACCTAAAGGCCAGCTACACTGGTGCCACTTCAAGAAGATAAATGCTAATGCACAGACATACAAAACCAGATCTGTGTCCTCTTCAAACCTACAGACTCAGGTTTAAATGAGCAATAGAATTATTTTAACAGGGAGTAGTACAGCATGTGCAGCTGCCTTGATATGCCAGAATTGTCAGTCCTAACAAAAATAAAGATCAAACACAGAAAATACCATCTCCAATGATTTATCAAAACAGTTCTGACCTGCAGCACCAAAAAACACCTCAAATCTATATTTATACTGTTTCCAAAAGTGTGTTTATTTGCTCAGCCCACAACACCTCCACGAAGGAGTTGAGGGGAGCTCAGCATCTGCACATCACCAGGCACCAGGAATGTTTGCAGAACTGTTAATCAATTAAGAAAGAGAGGATGGCAGGAGAATCCTGCCTCCCCTGCAATGTCCTCGCAGGGAACCTGCAAGAAGCAGGGGGCTGGATGGGACCCAGCCCTGTGGTGTCCCCCCACAGCAGAGGGGACACTAACACTGCTGCCATTGTCACTGCCAGACCGTGAGCCACCCACGAGCAGGACCCAGGTGAGCTTTTGAGGATCACTGGACATTTGCTGGCCAGTCAAAGGCTGCAAAACCTGGTGTGGGAAGACCAGACCCTGCCAGCAAGCAGCTCAAAACACAAACAGGCAGGAGCTCAGGGGCGAGGTGCCAGCTGTGGCAGATGCCAACCAGCTCCCACCACAGGAATGTGCTCACCGGGGCACAGGGATCAGAAAACATCAGGGGAGAGAACTTCCTTTTATTCAATATTTGTGCCTGGAGAAGTGGAGCTGAGAAGCAGACACCTTTCCCCCAGTGGCACTGCCCTGCTGTCACCCCACCACTGGACCAAAAATAACCCAACCTCACCTCTGCTGCAGGCACCGGGCTGGTGTGGAGCCCTCAGGACAGGGACACCTTCCCACCTTGCACCAGCATCGTGGCAGCTACATTATGGAATCTTCATGAGGAAGATATGGGTCTTACCCATGTCCTCAGCCTGTCTGCTCCAGCCACAGCCCACACATCCCTGCAGGAAGAGTGTCTCTGTCCCCAAACATCTGCAGTCTCAGCCAACCAACAGACCAACAGATAGAGGGTGGGAGAAAGGGGAGTTAATCCTCAGAAGAAGGAGGATGGGAAGATGGTTTGAGCATCAGACATCAGCTGCACTCAGTGGGAGGAAGCACAGAGAGCTGCCTGGCTTCAGGTGTCCAGCAGAAACAGGATGGGGTTTAAATCTGACCCATTGGTTCCTCTTGCACAGTATAATCATCACACAAGTAAAGCTAAGGTGGTGAAACATGCTCAGAGAAAAAAAGATAATAAATCAGTGAATAGAAGCTGATGCTTTAGATGATGCTTTTATCTTTTCCAGTCATTCACTCAGCTCCCTGCCTGAGCTCCACAAGCAGCACACACTTATGGGGCACTCTCAGGCATGATCAACAGGGAGCAGCAAAGGAGGAAAACATGGAGGACTCTTCTGCCCACCTCCTCTTTCACTGTCTCAAAAGTCCTGAAACCCAAGGCACTCCAAGTGCCCCTCCAGAGCCCAAAGTCCATGCATGACCACTGCAGTGCCTCCTGAACCAGGCATAAGCAAAAACACCACTGTTTTGATCCAAGAGTTTTAAACCCTACAGTCACTACAGCAGTGAGTCCTGCTGGAGAAGCTGGAGCTCCTGGAGTCAGAGCATCCCTGCAGAGGTGAAGGAGAAGCTCTCAGTGCTGTCCAGGCCCCAGCAGGGTGCTCCACCCCAGGGCTGGCAAACCCTGGCAGCCTGACATGGCCTGGTTTGCACCGAGGTCCCACATGACATCATCCTCCAGTCAACCTGATCTGCCCCACAGGCTCACCAGAACCTCACACTCACTGCCCAGGAGCCCCTTTTGTGTGTCCCCCCCCCAAATTAGTTCTGCCATGAAACCACCCCCCAGGCTGACCCCCTGTGCAGGGGCTGCCAGGGGGTTTGCATAACCCACTCAGCAGTGCTGGATAATTCCTCACTGCAACAATGGAAAAACCCAGGAATCTCAGTGAATAAGCCAGTCTGTGTCCTAAGGCAGCCCTTGGATTCCCTCCCTTGCCTGAGCCTGTCCCGGCTCTGCGAGAGCCCTGCTGGAGCCCTGCAGGCAGCTCCAGGGGCACAGAGCTCAACAAGCTCCCAGTTATGTGCAGGGCTCTCAGCTGTGGGCTGCAGCCAGGAACTGGCTGGAAAGCAGTTTTTTCACTGCTTTGCCTTCCCTGGTGGGTGAGCAAGGGACATCCCTGCCTTGTCAACTCACCTCCACAACTGCTGCCCCCAGGCAGGAGCCAAGGCAGACTCCAGGCCCAGCTCCAGCAGGGGTTTCCTCGCTCTGCTACCTCACCAACCCTTCACCAATGCCCACAGCCCTGTCCCAAGAGCTGCAGGCATGGCCACCCCCCTCACCTGAGCCTGGCACACAGCAGGGCTCCACTGCCCAGCATGTCATGCCCACCCCCCCACTCTGCCACTGCCCCATCCCTGCCTGGGGGATGCTCCACAGCACCATGTGCTGAGAATAGAGCCCCTCACACAGGTCTCCTGACCATGGACATGTTACACTCCAGTGCTGACAGGAAAGACATGGCAGCAACTAGGACTGCCTTTGTTCTTTCTTGGCCAACTCCCAGGTGCCATCTAGATTTGGAAGTCTTCAAGCAAAACCTTGCATTGCAAAAGCAATGACAGTGCTGTCAGTCATTGGCAGGACCTGGGCTGGCTCCATCATCTCCCATCCATGCTCAGAAAAACTCCTTCTAAATCAGCAAGACAAGACCCCCCCCAAAAAAAAACCTTTCTCTGTGATA